AAGAGACAAAAATAATTGCAAGTTTCTCTGAAAACAAATCTTTTAAATAGATGGGTCAGGTGTGCATAAAGGTGTCATGTTTCTCCTATGACATTTGGTTCCACGCACAGACAAAAACTGTACATAACCACTATCAACCATCTACTGTTCAGCACCCCCTCCTCTTTTTTTCTTAATAAAGGAAACAGGGAACAAGCAATGGGAAGTTGATGTCAAAACACAGAAAAACCTCCCAGCAAGCTTCCAGCAACCACCCAGGATTTAGAGTCTTGCTAGCCGCTCTCTTTTCAATACCAGAATTTCACACATTTCAATGACCATTATGACTTCAAAGAATCAAATTTTCATCATTGTCCGTCATCTGCCGGTTGATTTGTATAAAGGAGTTCTTCTGCATGCACTCCAGACAAAGGGCTCCTTACTTTCGTGGCTATATATCAAGTTTAAAAGTTCTATTTGTGACAGTTGTGTCTGTGGTAAATTAGGGTAACACTGAAGGAGTGCAGCTGCTCTGCAGGAACCCCCTTTTTGGCATCATTTCACTTAAATAAAAACTGAATAATTAGCTTCTGCCTTTATTAAACCGCAAAAATGCCACTGGCCTTAGTAATTACTTCCGGTTGCCCCACCTATTTAACCTCAATAGTTTACACTTGTTAGAAAGGAGGGAAAGTAGAAGTTTTCTGTACTTTCTGTTTACAACACCTTGCTCTCTTTCCCACCTCCAACATGTTTTACTAGACTAAGTGCATAAAGTTTTGCTATAAATTCATGTTGCAATATACTTTCTATAGGAGCTGTTATATCAAAGCACAGAACATCTTGCATAATACCCACAAAATAGCTGCTGTGAAAGAAGCTTTTTATTTAGTGTGCTCAACTGCTTAGGCTGTAAGTCAGGATAAGAATCTTTATGTTTCTACACTTCAATATGGGATTTTTGCAACAAATGTTAAGAGAACAGAGTCTACTATGCAAATTTTAAGTGGAAAAATGGAGCAGAATGCACTAAATATGGTCAGACAACATT